CCAATTCAAACCCATTAATTGTGGTCCCAGCAACCTGTCTGGGTGCACTGAAGCAAAAGCAATTACTTGCCCAAGAGATGGGGAGGACTAGAGCAGGGCCCTTCCAGTCCCCAGCTCCTTGTGATGCAATGCCCTGCAGTTGCTCCAGGGTAATTAAGCAAGAGGTTACTTAGTAAGCTGGCCAGCCCCTTAAATGAACGGTGTTATGTCAAAAATGAATACAAACAACCCTTCAATTGGTCTGTACTTAACTCTACCTCGCTCAATCAAGGGAACGCCTTGTTGGCTGAGGACAGCAATAAGAGCAGGCAGCAAATCAGCCCCTGTTCTTGCTCCACACTTGCTGGAACAAGACATCCGTGGGCTGCAGAGAAGCAGAGCTACATTGGGGAGCAGAGCACAGTGGGATACAGGCCTCTTGCTCCGCTTAGCTGGGACAGGGTCCCCCCTCCCGGGGACTCCAAAGCCTCTCCAGGGTTTCTCACCACGGCACATGCCAGCATGCGAAGGATACGACGGTGCAGCAACACTCACCACAACAGCAAGGCTGAACTCCCTGGCCAGTGTCTTCAGCTCCCTGGCTAACTGCATCATGATGGCCAAACCTGGAGGACAAAGCATTAGGGTGTTTGGGGGTCAACCCCCAAAGCGCATCTTGGAGGCAGGTGAGCACTAGATTTAGTGCTGGTCTTCATGGACACCTTCAAACCATTTCCATCACCAGCACTCCAATGTACCCATTGCACCTGCCCACTCCAGGGCATCACAGCTCACTGGATGTGGTATGGACAGACCAATTTCCAAGTTGTCCCACCCCCTCTTTTCCCAGAGAGGGAAGCCTGAGGAAAAAAAGCCCTGAGGCCAAAAAACCGTACCAAAGCACCAGGAGCTCCAGACAAAGCTGGCCAGGTTGATTTAACAGGTACAGGACCCATCTCTACAGCTCACACCTTCCTTTCCTACAGCCCGTGGCTGCGAGGGGCCTCCTGTGATAGCACTGGCTGCCACCCAGGTATGCAAGACCCTCCGGAATGTGTCTGAGGGGCCTCCTTGGCATCTCAGCCAGCAGAAAGCCCCTCACTCCTGATTTACGGTCCTTTCTGGCAGAAAGAGCCTCGGGGAGCTTTGCAAACTGTGCCAGCAACCACGATGTATCTGTGACACTGTAAGTAGAGGTGTGTGGCAAACAGTTCAGTGCCTCCTCTGTCCCCTGGCTGGGTTTCAGACCACCGGCATGAACTTGCATGGCCACAGCCAGCTGGAATGTTCGCCGATAATGTTTGCTTTTATCCAGTCGCAAAGGAAAAGCTGGGAGCAGCTGCACCCACATCCGTCCTGCCCCAGCTCCAGGCACAGCACACATGGGAGAAAGATGCTCTTCGGGACGAGCCGAGAGGTCTGCAACCTCCTTGCACGTCCTAAGGAAGCAGCTCACCCTCCGACTGCTTGCCGCCCAGCAGCGGGTGAATCGCAGCCGAGACAGAGTCAATCACCACGACCTTTAGAGGTCCCATGGAGCTCACGACCTGAAAGAAGGAGGCACCGTGTGCAATGTGGAGTAACAAATCCAGCAGTTTTGGAGGTCGTGAGCGGCACAGAGGGCATCTGTGTGTGTCCCTGGATGGGGTGATCTGGTGTCACTCATCAGGCACACCAGCCCTACTGTCCTCCTTGCAGCTCTGGGGCAGGGAGTGGGGCCCAGACTCTTGCTCCTACCTGCTGGGAGAGGCGATCCCGCAGCTCCTGCAAGGCGCTCAGCATTTCATAGATGTCAAACACACGGACCACCTGGACCCGCTGCAGAGCCTCCAGCTGCAGCACAAAGTGGCATCACCAACAGCCTCACCCCTCCAGGACCCATTATATTCCCCCTGCCCCAGCTGCTACTAGCTCTTTGCATTTACACCATGCCATGGAGCCAGGGACCCTTACTTCTTCCACATTTGCCTCCACCCCACGAACGCTGTTGTCCCCGTTGCACTGATGGAAGAAGCAACACAGACTGAGCTCAGGGAGCGAAAGCATGAGCACCTACAGCAAGCCCGTCCCTTCTCCCCAAGAAAAAAAACGAAGTGTGGTGTCTGTCCCTGAGCACAGCACCCCCCCAGCCATGGGAAGAAGAGTTTGGACCCAAAAAAGTCCATGGGGACAAAGGCAGAGTTGGACAGACAAACCATCTCTGGAGGTAATCTGCAGGCAAGAGCCAAGGCAGCTTTAGTGTGAGTGGAGGGACCAGCTCCAGGGGAACTTGCCTGCTCTTCCTTGTCCTCTGCCTGGGCTTGAAGCATCTGGTAGAGACGGGAGGCAGTGAACCCCCCCGTGGAGTCGAGAAACAGGACGTGCTGCTTGAGGCCAAGAGACGCGCTGGCCGCAATGCCCAGGCACACCTGGAGAGGCAGGGCCTGGGCGTCAGCCAGCCCTCCCCGGTCCCTCCGCTTCGTGTGCCTGACGGCACCATCTTCACCCTACCCATCCTCTCCCCTCTCCTTTGTCCCACTCACCTGCGTCTTCCCACTGCCCGGTGCTCCCATGAGCTCCGTCACTTCCCCTGTGTACAGCCCGGAATCCAGCAGCCGGTCCAGGCTACGGGTCGAACACAAGGTGGGATTAGCAACACCCCTTCAGCAGAATGGCAGAAGCGTCAGGAAGCATCAGTCCCCAGATATTTGTCCCTCGAGTCCCCTCCCCAAATGCAGACAAGTGCCTCAGGCTCTGCTCCTTGCCTCCCATCTTCCCTCTTCGCATCATGGGCAACAGCAGATCTGCAGAGTGGGAGCTACGAGAGGATGGTCCCGAGCTGGAGAAGAGCTGTTGGTCTTGGGAGCAAGGTTTGAATACCCAGGGTTTCTCTGCATAGTCACTGTAACAACCCAGCAAGCAGACAGGAGAAAAGAAGAAATAAGGACATGCAATAGAGTAACTCATTTCCATGCCTGGTCTAGACAGTTTGGACCATCATCACTCAACAGTCCTCCCAGATCCATGACCACCTTCTCTGGAGCCCTCAAAGGAAAGGCTGAAGGCAGCATGTTGCCTAGTCTAGAAGTGAGACACGCAACCACTTCCCAAAAGGTGTGCAGGCTCTTGCAAGGCCAACAGCAATGTCATTCCCTCAAGGAACAGAGACCAGCTGGCTTTGCAGCCACAGGACATGAAGAATAACCATCTCTGGATCACAAAAGGCAGAGCCAGGCTGTGTCTGGAAGTTTTTAAAACAGCTGCTGGGGATGGTTTGGACACCACTGAACCTGGTCAGGGCATCACCACGCTGAAATTCAAAGCCTGTGCTGGGCAACCATGGCCTTTTGCAGCAATCCCAGTCCCAGGCAGACCTGCTGGCTCACCGGGCAATGTACCCACCTTGAGCTCCCAGTGGGCAGGATGGCCGTGGAGCTCTTCAGCTCCTCATAGAGGTCTGCTCCATTGGCAGGGAAGGCAGAGAACTGGGCCAGGAGCACACGTCTCACTGCAACAAGCGCCTGGTGGGCAGAGAGATGTCTGGACTGAGGAAGTCCAGGGCCAAAAACATCTGCTGCAGAAGGTCCTCCCAGACAAGCCCATCCAAGCCATAAGCTGAACAGCTCTGAGCTCCCCAGTTAATGTACTGGAACTTAAGAGTCACCCTTTACCTTGTAAGACAGAGAACACTTCTGAGCAATGTCCTCCAGGTCTGATGACACAAAGTCCACCACTGCAAATAACATGAGGGACAAGAGTTGGAAGCCAAACGCAGGCAGACCGCAAACACCAGAGAGACAACCAGCTTAGACAAAACCTGCCTGCGCCAACAGGCAAAATGCCTGCGCCCTCTGCCACACCTCAAGGGGATGAGCGGGATGCCCCACAAAATGGAGTACTGGCCTTTTTCCTCTGAGATGGCCCCACTGTCCATTGCAAAACAGGTCAGGAAGAGAAACTGGTAAAAATTGTCCCTGTTTTGCTCAAGAGCTGCCCAGTGCCATTGGACAGCTAGGGCCAGCCAAGAGAGTCCCCTTCTGCCAGTATCTCACAGTCTCAAGGGGCTTGTGACTGTCCCAAAGCGCCAGCCCTGGGCATGCCAGAAGGGCTAAAGCCCCAGAAATCTGAAGAACTAGTGGCCCCATCTCTGCTCCCATGAACCACTCCAAGATTCACTTTTTCAGATAGATGTGTATGTTATTGGTTGAAAAAAAAAATGGTAAAAAGTTCTTACAGGGAAAACAAGGATTATAACATCCATGGCTCCATCATGCACTGGATCTCACAGATCCCAAGAACACACAGATCACAAGAATAAAATGCTGTTTCTCTCAGCTCTAATCCAGTTTCTCAGAGCAAGTAAAGATTCCACCTCAAGTCTTTTCCTCCCCCCGTAAGAGCAGGCCTCACCCAGGGTGCAGTGCGCCAGGAGCTTAGGCATTTTCAGAGGGGGAAAATACAAAAACCCTGACAAAATACATTCTAAAAGCCATAACTGGCCTCTGCAGAGACCCCATACCATGTCCTAACTCTCTCCTGCTCCTATAGAGAAGTCCTGACTCATTACATCCACCCAGGGGAACCAGAAGACATCCAGCAAGGAGGACTCAGGAGGGATATCACACCACCACCACCCTTGCGGGGTGCAGGACGATGTGGGCACAGGGGCTGGAGCTGCAGCCCCCCATGGCAGACCCCCTGCGCCCACCCTCTTTTTCTTTACGGGGCTCCAAGGAAAAACGCCCCGCTGCAGCTTCTGGGTCACAAGCCAAAGCCGCAGGGGCAGATGTTTTCCAGGGG